TATCCCTTATTTCTCTATAATTTTTTCCAAATTCCTACATTCTCCACAATTTTTCCAAATTCTCCCCACACAAATTTCGTTCAAAATTTCCCTCAGTTCCCTACAAAATCTTTCTATGCCTCAAAAAACAACCCACTCCTCCCTAATCACCTCCTATTCCCCCATTCGCCCCGAATGTTTCCCAATTTCCTTTCTCCACCCAACATAAAAAATTAACAAAATCCTAAACACAATTTTTTCCTCTTTCCCTCATAAATTTTCCCAATTTTTCTAAAATTCCCACATTCCCTCTACCAATATCTCACTCCCTTTTTTATTTTCATAAAAATCCTCATTTCCTCCACCAATATCCCCCATACCCTCCTTTTTTTCATAAATTTTCCCATTTTGATCCTTTCCTCACTCACTCCTTCCTTTACTCACTTTCCCACAATTTTTTACAAATTCATCCCTCCCCATCTACCTTTTCTACTTCCTCAATCTAACCCCAATTCCCCACTATTTTTACAAATTCCCACACAATTTTTATAAATTCCTACACAATTTTTACGAAGTTCCCACTCACCACTACACATAATTTTCCCAAATTACCCATATTTCCTCACAATTTTCCCAAATTCTCCCCAACATTCGTCACACGACCCCTAATTTTTCCACAATTTTTTTTTCGAATTTTTTCTTCATTCTCCTGAGTTTTCCGAAATTCTCCCCGCAAATATCATTCAAAATTCCCCCCACTTTCTTAAAAAATCCCCATGTTCCCCAAAAAACAACCCAATCCTTCCTAATTCACCCCTTAGCTCCTAATCTTCCTCAAATTACTGTTGCTATGAGCCAGAACCGGTCTCCAAATTTTATGAATAATAAAATATATTGTTATTCTTATGTTTATTATATATTATTAATACGAGGTGTTTAAAATGAATTATAAATGTGTGAAAAGTTGTTTTATGCTAATTAAAAACTTCCCTGCATGAGAAGTGAAGAGATTTTTTTAAAACGCTTAATTATGATTAAAAAATATAAAAATTAAAAACCGCTAAATATATAGATGTGAAAGGTCAAGAAGTTAGTATTGGTTTCGACCTAAACTTGCTGGAAAAAATATCCCAAATCAGTTTCCTAGCCCTGTTGCTATAATTTGGTTAAATAGAGAAAAATGCTTATTAACGATTTTGTATATAATTTGCACGACTCTTATAGCTCGATTCAAACTTTTTGCTATAGTACAGTAATTTTAAAAAATGTCTACTGTTCTTCTAGGTTCTGCTTACAGCGATGAAGCGGCAGAACTGTGTATCAAAGAAAGTGTTCCTGAAATAAACTGGATATATGTTGGAATAGCTACTGTGTCGGTGCTATTTTTGTTGTGTTGTTGCTGTGTCTGTACGTTCAGACGATGTTGTAGATACTGTTGTAGATATGATGATTAAGAGTCGAATTTTTAGCACAGTCTCATTTTTTAAAACGTAGTCACAATTTAACAATTTTATAAGAATAGAATATTATAATATCGGATGTCTTTCACTTCCTTTAATTAACTTTAATGATCATAAATTATTTTTTTGTCTTAAAGTAAGATTACTGAAAGTTACAATCAAGTAAGCGTTACCAGAACAAAATTTGTTACTACAAATTAAATATTTATTTTAACAAATATTATTTTAAAAGTTTTAAACCAAAAGCGAACTTTCTCCTTTTCTAATATTATTAAAATAAAAGCAAATAAAGTTAGACATTCGTGTTTTTAATAACAATCAGGATGTACAGAAGGATATTTTATAACGAAATTTTTTTATAATAGAATATATTAATAATTATTCCGAGAAATAAGCATTTTTACCTTCTTAATATCTGATATAGTTGTAAAAAAAATTGAGACTGTGCAAACAATGGAAAGACTCTTAGATCAACCTTGTTCAATTCCGAGAGCCTTACGTAATGAACTGTTTTTATTACATTTTATGTAATTAAAGATCGTTTTTGGAAATTATGGTAAATATTTCAATGATGCAATTATTTATTTGGAACAGTTCCCTTCTTTAATAAACTTTTTTAATTGTAGTTTATTAATCTATAATAGTTATTAAAAAAAAAAGTAGAAAAACATTGAAATTGTAAATATTGAATTTTCAAAAACGATCAAAAAAAGACTAAAAATTAATAATAATGAGTAAATAGTGCACTAAAAATGCACATTGTACATTATGTGTAATTTAAACAAATGTTGCTCAAAAAAATTAATGGGTTAACCTAATTTGTTTATGTCAGTTCAAAAAGTATTAAATTTTGTTAATTTTAGTCAATAATGATACAGAACTGAATTAAGGACGATTAATTTTGGCTTAAAATTTACGTTTTTAAACTTTTTGTCAAATATCTCGAATATGGACCATTTTTGGAAAATTTTGTATAAAACAAAAATTATAGATAATACTATAAGAAGTAACTTTTATTTGAAAAGTTTTCTTCTCCAAGCGTGAATAACAGATATATTCCATAAAGTAGAAAAGAGATTTTTTCCATAAAGTTTTACCCAGATTTCTATAATAAAATCAGTTTTTTCTAAAATATTCCCACAAATTTCGTCCAAAATTCCCCCCAGTTTCCTACAAAAATGTTCTATTCCCCCAAAAAACAACCCACTCTGTTCCCAAATTTCCTTTTCTCCACTCCACATAAAAAATTAACAAAATCCACAGTTCCACAATTTTTCCCTCTTTTCCCATATAAATCCCCTACAATTTTTTACAAATTCGCACACCATTTCCTCCATCCCCCCATCCTCCACAATCCCACTATAATTCCCTACTATTTTAACAACTTTCCTTACAATTTTCCAAAATTGTTATCAACATTCCTCCCATTTTCTCCCTCTCCCCAATCCTCCACAATTTCTTACTATTTTAACAACTTCCCCCACAATTTTTACGAATTTTCCACTCACCACTCCACAATTTTCCCAAATTTTTGACAACATTTATTCCTAATTTTAATTTTTTCCGAATTTCCTGCATTATCCACTCCACAAATTTCGTCCAAAATTCCCCTCAGTTTTCTACAAAATCTTTCTATTCCCCAAAAGAACAACCCATTCCTCCCTAATCACCTCCTATCCCCCCCCCCCCCCCATTCGTCCCGAATGTTACCCAATTTCCCTTTCTCCACTCCACATAAAAAAATGTAACAAAATCTTCCACATTTAAATAATTTTTCCCTCTTTTCCTATACAAATTCTCTACAATTTTTTACAAATTTACATACAAATCCTCCCATTTCCTCCCTCCCTTCCCCTATCCTTCATAATCCCGCCACAATTCCCCTACTATTTTAACAACTTCCCCCACAATAGGTTTAAAACAACAGAAATTCATTATAAAACAGATAAAAAAGCTAGAAATCTCAAAAACTGGTTATTGTACGGAAGGTAAAAGTTTAAATTAGAAGTGAATTTCCTACTCACCACTCTAAACAATTTTTCCAAATTCCCTTTAAAAGTCCCCAAACTTCCTTATAATATTCCCAAATTTTTCTCAACATTCCTCACATTTATCCTTAATTTTTCCGAATTTTCTATATTCTCCATAATTTTCAAAATTCACCCCGCAAATTTCTTCCAAAATTTCCTCCAGTTCCCTACAAAATCTTTCTATTCTCCCCACAAATTCCCAACAATTTTTTATAAATTCACATACAATTTCTCCCATTTCCTCCCTCCCTTCATCCTCAACAATTTCCTACTATTTTAACAACTTCCCCCACAATTTTTACGAATTTCTCACCACTTTCAATAATTTTCCCAAATTTCCCTCAAACTCCCTACATTTTTCCATAATTTTCCCAAATTTTTCTCAACCTTTATTCCTAATTTCAATTTTTTTGCGAATTTCCTACATTCTCCACAATTTTCCCAAATTCTTCCCACAAATGTCGTCCAAAATTCCCCCAGTTCTCAACAAAAATCTTTCTATTCCTCCAAAAAACAACCCACTCCCCCTTAATCACCCTCTATTCCCCCCATTCTCCCCGAATGTTTCCCGATTTCCTTTTCTCCACTCCACATAAAAAATTAACAAAATCCCCACAGTTCCACATTTTTTTCTCTCTTTCCCTTATACAAATTGCCCACAATTTTTTACAAATTTACATACAATTTGTCCCATTTTCTCCCTTCCTTCTTCCATAATCCTGTCACAATTTCCTACTATTTTAACAACTTCCCCCACAATTTTTATGAATTTCTTACTTCATTTCACAATTTTCCCAAATTCTTCTCAAAACTCCCCACAATTTTCCCAAATTTTTCTCAACATTCCTCACATTTATCCCTAATTTGTCCACAATTTTATCCAAATTTCCTACATTCTCTACAATTTTCCCAAATTCTCCCCACAAATTTAGTGCAAAATTCCTCCAGTTCCTTATAAAATCTTTCTATTCCTCTAAAAAGCAACCCACTCCTCCCTAATCACCCCTTATTCTCCCCATTCGCCCTGAATGGTCCCCAATTTCCCTTTCTCCACCCAAAATAAAAAATCCTCCACATTTCCACAAATTTTTCCTCTATCCTTCACAAATTTCCCCAATTTTTCCAAAATTCCCACATATCCCCCACTAATCTCTCACATACCATACCCTCTTTTTTTCATAAAATTCACTCTGTAAAAAGAAACAGAGGATTTAAAAGAAAGGAAAAGGATTTATAAGCATTTATTTCTGCCAAAAAGATGTAGGTGTACAAAATTTAGGTCAGTAGTTTTGGCAATAAATTGACACTATTGCGCAAACTCAGCAACTTCGATTTTATTCCCCTTGTAGGAACCGTCGAATCCATTCTCTTTATTTCAGTTCTGTGAATAAAATATATAATAAATGCGTTTTTTGCAACCTTCAGAATTACAGCTTGACACTTCAGATAGGGATTCTTGAGTATATTCTAATGTAAAAATCGAGTATAATCACTTTCAAAAGTCTTGTACCCCTCAAATTGAAACCATTTTTAGTTAAGTTTGAAACTTTTCTATTAAAATTTATTTAAAACCTTACACCAAATGTAAATAAGTTCCTATTAACATCAGAAAAAAATATTAAGATATTATATTTTATTTTTGAATAATACAGGGGGTGGTCCAAGAGTTTTTAAAGCTAATGTAGTAGGTAATACATTTTTTCGGTTTATTTTTGATACGAACATCTTTGATTTAATATTTTTGAACTGAATAATTAAATAAAGTTAACCAGTAAGTATTAAAATACAATATTTTTTATTTATTATTTGAGATTGTTATGATCAGAATTTATTATTTACTTTATAGCATGTAAGTAATGAGATGAGAGAAAGAGAGAGTAAATATGTTTTTGAGCAACAAATTTTTTTGTTGAAAATGAAAAGCACAGTTTATACTGATAGTTCAACTACATAAGAAGACCATATAAATATTTTAATTCATTTTTAGCTGGTTTTTTGCTTTTATCTTACATTAAGATCTTAACCAAATAAGTGATAATTTTTGGTAAAAAAAAAACGTCTGCAGTATTTTATATTATCAATATTGACGAAATAATAATTGTAGGATGAATATTTTATCAATATTTTCAATTCAAAAACATAATTCCGATTATATACATTTTTTTTAAATGTTAGTCATACAATTTGAAATAAAAAATACATGTTGCTTCTTTAAACTTAATTTAAACCGAATGTTTGCATTTATTTCTAAAATTTACCTTTTTAATTAGTTATTTATGGATATTTTAAAATATCATCCAAAATAATTTATCATTTATTTGGAAAAAGAAAAAACAGTTCCATATAAGTATCTATAAAGCATTTAAATACCAACGATTATAAAATACAAAAAAAAAAACTAAGTAGTTCTTCCAATAATTTCTAATTTGATTCCATAATATATGGAGTGCTCCACAAAAAATGTTCCTAAATTAAGCTGGAGATAAAATTACACATGTCGCAGTATACAGTGTGGGTCTATAATAATTTGTTACAGTTAATGATGGAAAAAGAATAAGTGGATTGGATTATAATTATTTACTGCGTTTACAACGGGTGTATATTAGAAAAAAAATCGGATGTGTCCAAAATTGACTTTCCTGTCTAGTTATTACAGGCTTTTTCCGATTATTTTCTACAACTTATATATTAGGGTAAGCCAAAATGACCAACATATCGATTTTTTTGTCTCAAAAGTGTTTATATAAATTTCCCATTTAATAACAAGCAAAAAATTGGTTGTCCATTCAAAATGCTATAACTTTTGAACCGTTTGAGATAGAAACTTTATACAGGTATTTTCTTGTATGGCATGAAATTCTCTAAAAAAATCTGATGTGTCCAACACATGACTTTCCTATCTAGTTAACCTATTAAAAATGTTTAGAGGATTAACTAAATATATACATTTTCCACATACATCTACCTCGAAACATTTTTCTATAGATATTCATTGAAAACGAAAATACTGAAAAATTTTAATTTAGCACTTTTCCTCCAATTTTTCCCATTACGGTCCATTTTAGAAAAGTCATTTAAAAACAAAAATTATAGAGATCGATATCGCAAACAACTTTTAGATTAACAATTTTCTTAAAAATCAGAATTTTGCACATTTTGTCAAATTTCTCGAATACGGACCATTTCAGGAAAATTTGATATAGAACAAAAATTATAGATAATAATATTGTAAGTAACTTTTATTTAAAGAATTTTCTTGCCCAAACGTAAATAACGAATATATTCCATAAAATATAAAAATGACCACCAATAAAGTACCCCCCCAAATGTTCCGACTCTGTCCAAAATCTAATCAGTTCACCTCAGGTCGAAATAAAACTTAAGTTTAAAATTTAATGTTTTTTCCTTTATCCGTTTTTGAATTTTATTCAAAATTCGAAATTTACACATTTTCTCAAATATCTCGAATACGGTCCATTTTAGAGAAATTATTTATAGGACAAAAATTATAGAGAATTATATTACAAACAACTTTTATTTGAACAATTTTTATAAAAAATTATTTTTTTTACATTTTGTCAAATTTCTCGAATACGGACCATTTTAGGAAAATTTTGCATAAAACAAAAATTATAGATAATTATATTAGAAGTAACTTTTATTTGAAGAATTTTCTTCTCCAAACGTAAATAACAGATATATTCCATAAAATATAAAAATGACCACCTATAAAGTACCCCCCCAGATGTTCCGACTCGGCCTAAAATCCAATCAGCTCATTGGACGCTGAAACAAAGCTTAAGTTTAAAATTTGGTGTTTTTTTGTGTATCGGTTCATGAGTTATGCGTTATACAGACACACACACAGACACACACACACACACACACACACACACACACACACACACACACACACAGAGACAGACAGACATCATCGCGAAAATAGTCAAAACGGATTCAGGGGACTTCAAAACGTAAAAATCCGTCGAAAACTCGAGGTCGAAAAAAATCATGATTCCTATACTTTCCTTATATCTGTATACAGATAGGAAAGTAAAAATACTGTGGAGTTGATTTTTTTGCCTTCAAAATTCATATACTTACGGGCTATGAAAATTGATGAAAAACAGACATGTATAGTAAATATGTTTGTTTTTCATCAGATCTACTTGGGCCGGTATTTTCTACTTCTGATTAAACACACGACTAATATAGCATTATTGAATACTTGACTACGGTTTTAGTATGTATATTTCGAAGTTTAATAAACATGTCTGGTTTTCACCAACTTTCACAACTCGTAAGTATATGAATTTTGGAGGAAAAAAATCAACTCCGTAGTATTTTTTTTAGAGAATTTCATGCCCTACAAGAATATGCCTAGATAAAGATTATATCTCAAACAGTTCAAAAGTTATAGCATTTTTAATGCACAAAAACTTTTTTGCGTGTTATTTAAATGAGAAATTTCGACCACCGATACCTTTTAAAATTGAGATAAAAATGTTTTCAATAGGAGAATTTTTTTCATCATATAGACCCTTTTGAGACCATAAATTCGATAGATTAGTTATTTTGGTTCACCCTATTATACCGTTGTCTAGGTTGGAATCGTATGGAAAACTTTTTTATTATTAATTTTAGAAAAAAAAAATATTCTTCATAAAAAATTCTGCATTATCTAAAACTTAGAATACAGTCATCAAATATCAAATTTTTTCAGTGATATACGAGGTTTGTCAAAAAATATGAGTTTTACTCCAGAGTAAAGTACCTTTATTCTTTATACAACTGATAAAATTTGATATTTGATTTTAGGTTTTAGATTAGATTTAATTAGGACTATGGGCCATGTGGCCTCCCCCACCTCGACCTTTTCAGATCTATTGTGGATATCCTTTAATCATTGTTTAGAGTACCTTGTCTAATGCGGTCTTTTATAGTAAACTCCATAGACTGGAAAGTAGTTCTCCGGTATAGCTAGTTGCCCTTGGTTTTTCTTCTCCAAGTGTAAGGAATCTCAGTCTTACTAGACCTTCGCAGTAGCACAATACGTGTTCTGCCGTTTCCT